AAAAAACAGAGCTGATACCTCGCTGACCTGCAAACCATGTTTTTTCACACACGCCACAACAGTCCCCTCTCTAGACTTAATTAGAACTTGCCAACATCGTCCTATTGCTTCGCCTCGCTGTTTCACTCAGCAGCTTCTCCTATACAGCTGGTATTTGTTAGCACACTCTGGAGCTGGTGCCTTGTACAAGCTCGCGCAGTAGCTTTGAAGCCAGAACGCGAAAGCTCCAAGAAGCCTTGCATGCTTCAAGACCTAGACGTACAGTTCAACGCCTCAGCTTTAAAACCATGCCCTCAGGTCAAGATTTTCCGAGAGCAGTTGAACGAGGCGGGCAGCCAATTTTCACCTGTTTTCATATGCCATTGTAGTGGAAGGTCCGAGAATCATCGGTCGCGTTCAGCGGCTTTGCAGGGACTATCTCGGGTTTCAGGGGGCGCTCTCGAGAACATGTGGGACCCTCTCTTTCGGAGCGGGGCTTTGGAGATAACTTTTCTAATCCCAACCGAGATTCCCAAAATGTCGCGCACGCACGCGCGCGATCAGTCTAGGGTTTAGGGTTTAGGTTTGTTTTGCGTAGAGGCTCCCTGAAATAGTTGTGATCGAACTGACTACTTACGCTGTCCGGCGAGCATTCCCCGTCTCTAACCTGATCACACTATTGGAGTTTCCAGAATTAATGGGATGGTCCTCTTTTGCGATTCGCATGTTCTTGTTTCTGCAGTAAACCGTTGCCGCACAACTTCGTAATCTTCTGACAGGGTAGGTTCCTGATAGGAGACGTTCGACTCACTAACTTGACCTTGGGATGCTAAACCCTGAGCTGTGTGCTTGCTTGGCCTGTGGAACCACTAAGCTGTTTAGACCCTTGCATCTTGCCACAGCGCCTGCAACAGATACTCCAAAGCTTGTTGCCGTTAGCTTCCCCAAGAAGCCCGATAGCAAGATCGTGCTAAGCTTTCAGAATGGTGCAAGAGGAAGGAACTAAGTGCCTGACGGTATGGATTGCTCCAGGATCGCCACAGGTGATCATGTGTTAGGTCCACATTGGAAGCGGGGGAGTGATGTCACGCGTTGATAGTGGCGCGAGTATATATGCTGACTGGGAACATGCAAGGGATCCTCTCCCAGTTGCAGGATGGTGCTGGCAACCCGACTGCCTTGCAACTGAGCTCCAGGGGCTAAGGTGGTCCCAGTAGTTCAGGCTTAGCAACGCCAGCATTCGAATTCGCGAAACAACCTCACGGTCTTCTGTGATTCATCAAACTGTCGCTGTAGTCACCTACGTGTTTTTCAGATGCCCGAGACAGTCCTGGAGCCCTCAACACCCACACCTAAACCCTGATTACCCTCCCTAGCCCCAATAATAGAAGGACGATTAGTCGTTATGTATATGAATTGTTATGGCGAGGGGATGACTGTATAAACCCTATAATGCTTTACACCTGAAAGCGGGCTCATAAATAATCAGGGATCACATTCCCTTCCTGCATGTCAACGCATCCAGGTCAGCGAAAAGGCGTTGGAGCTCCACAGCACGGAGGCCGAGTTTGGGGATTTGGGCTCTGAGCTTGGACATTTCGAGTTCAGGTCTTGGCATTTTGGGTTCAGATCAGGGTGCAGAGATCAGTTCTGGGAATCAGGCCTGAGGACTCCTTTGATGTAGGGATGTAGCAGAGCTGAGGAGCCAAGCTTTGTACTCAGCAAGGCGAGTACTGTTGATACGCGGAATCCTGCATGACCCTAACCACCCTACACGCTGCGCATTCTCATGGTTTAGCATAGGAACGTGCTGTAAGTATTAAACATCATCCACACTAGGTGCAGGTGCTTTATGGTAGCAGTACCTTGTCGTCCGAAAACTGGGACCCTGCGCTGCATTATCAGGAGCCCAAGAAGGGGAACATTCAGCGGGTAACTCACAGGGTGGCAATGTGACTAGCTTCATTACCGCTACTTAGCTCCAAAACCGCAAGCAATAATTTGATCCCAGTGGTCCAAAACCGCTGCAGTTTATCAAAAGTGCCCATCTCTTTCTGGGCTTTTGAGTGTACATCCTTGCTTCCCTCATGTCACCTCCTTTAGCCGAACCCGTTCTCCTACCCGAACCCTGTGCACCTACAACCTGACACAACATTACGAACCCTTCTAACGAGGGGCAGTCTAGCAGGAGATCTTCGCAGATCCGGGGTCTGTACGGTATAGAATGCCGGATAGCAGGAGAGCTTGAAAACTTTAAGGCTCCTCATAAATTGTTTTGGTTCTTTTGGAAGCGCTATCAGATCAAGAGGGACAGATTGCTAGGATCATTTAGACTGAAGTCTGGCACACCTGGGTCGTTTGAAGAGTCAGCGTGCTCAGACATGCGACGGGTTTCGGGCTTTTGTATTCCAAGCCTGGAAACGCTCCTTAATCCCTGCCGCCTAAAACCATAGAATCCCAAAGACTTCAAACTAGAAGCTTGTCTTCCATGATCTCCAGAAAGTCCTCGAGTCGGTGTAGCATGCTACATGCCGGTTATCATAATGTGCAACCAGCCAGCGAGATTGTTAAGGAAGGTCCGCTATGACCCCTGCACTGAGCTAGCAAGACAAGCTAATGCGTTTTTCCGTGTTCCTGTTGTTGAAACACACCCTTTTGGCACAGTACCACTTCTGCCCATGAATATCTTGCCGTATCGAACTCCAAACCCTGCGCCCTACTGCGAACCTCTAGGCCTAAGCCTTAATTAAGCCCAAAGTAAGCCCAAAAACTTGACAATTTGAGGAAGGTGATCCGTAGTTGTGGCCTTATCCGCTACTGTATTTCAGCGTTAGACCCTGAAGGCCCACAGGATGTCACCCAGAGAGCAAAACCAAGGCTAAAGACACTAGCTCCCACCTCCGGAGACTGCTAGAGAGCAAGCCTTAAAGCTTCATCGCTATAACCTGACCGCGCGCACACCTCAACTCCTTAAACCACCAGACTCCGACTTCTTCAAACCCAAATCCCAATGTGCCCATGTGGCCCATGTTTGCCAAGCCGGCAAGGAGCTCCCAGGTGCGGTGGATGGCAATTTGGTGCCTCGCCTTGCAACTGTTGCAGGGCTTTTGGAGTGTGAGGGTTGGAGACTTACGGCTTAAGTTTCAGGGCTTTGGAGTTCGAGGCTCACGGTTTGGGGTGAAGCGATGCGAAGCGTTAAGGGTCGGTCTACGTGCGGTAGAGTCTCAAAGGGGTCTTAGGAGTTTTGAGATTGGGGTCTGGAGCTGTTGTTGGTGTTTAAGCGGTGATCGATGGAGGAAGTGTTTTTCCGGGCATGAACAGGATTTGTGTGTAATTTTCAAGGTTTGGTGCCTGGCTTCTTCGCTTGTGGCCTCGGGCTCTTCAAGCGATAAGGCTTGTGGTCTGGTAGATGTTTGTTATTTTTCGGTTTTCGCGCATCGGTTGCTTTTGCAGCGTTGGGGGGGAAGGCGGGGTTGGGGGTTTAGCGATTCAAGGCTAGACTCGACGTTTCACAACATAAGCGTTAGGGCGATGGGGAAGGTTTGAATTGCGTTTATTCGGGCATGTTTCAAGGTCAGGTCGGCGGGTTCTCTTAGGGGTGTTGGGATGAGGGGTCTTCAGAGGCCCCTTTGAGGGTTGGATTGAGGGCAAATGCTGGGCACCCATGCTTTTTACCGTAGACATTTTGCGCTTCGGAGGGATCCGGCATATAGCAGGTTGCATTTTGAATGCTGTAGCAGATATTGGTGTGCTTCTGCTTCGTTTGACACCCTAAAGTGCCTTAAGCCATAAACCATGTCAGAGAAGAGTCGAAGTTGGAAGACCTGCCCTCTCCCCGATAGACAAGAAATCCCATACAGCCCCCCTCATTAATGCATAGTAGTCAGCAGTAGTCAGCCCAGCACCATGTAGGATTCAGGCCAGATGACGGGTGGGTAGCATGCAGCATTAATCCTCACCATTCCGAAGGACTTGTTGCGAAGATGGATGGAATTTATACCACCTTAAAGTGCTGGTCCTTATGCAAAAAGCCTACAAGTTCAATTCATTTCTCCTTTGCCAGGACATGGTTTGTCTCTTTTCCTCTCAACAGGCTACATTTTGTCTTGAGTATCGTACAGCCTTGATGAAGTAGAGACATTGGCTACTGCTGGGCGAACACCCCGGACTGTTGGACTCTTGCGGAGTGAACGAGGGTTTTCACATAAGGTACAGTCATTTGCTGGTGCTAATCATGGGCGCGGGTCCGATGAGGCAGTATCTTCGAGAGCGTCTCCTTTTTTGTTGAACCCAGTTTCGGTTGCTTGGTATTATGTCGTATACCCAGCTGCTTCTATGCCGTACCGCTTGAAGGAGCACCCATTGCACTGATCATTGATGAGGGACTGCATCTCGGGGTCCACCAGCAGTGCAGGCGGGGCACAGGCTGGGTGCTCTGCTTGGTGCGTTCTGATGACTGGCCATGACCATCTAGCGCCAGAACGCGCGGGCGGTGATGCGGGCCTCACCTCCTCAGGCCTTTTTAGGTCGTTCCAGAATTGCGGGGTTGTGGCTGATCCTGCGTTTGGGCCCCAAGTAGTGATAGCCTGCCCTTCCTTCGCCCTGGGTTTTGACCGCGGGCTTAGCTTCCTCCTTTGTGCAGCGGGTTTCTGGCCTGTGTTGGCTCCAGACTTTCTGGCCTCAGATTCTGGCCTAGTAATACATGACCCAATCTCCAAACGTGTAAGCCTGATAACGCCTAAAGCCTGAAGACTCCATAACATGTTATTCTGAACCTGGTTGCACAAGGAGATGGAACTGCTCGTCGAGGCGCTCAGCGATTCCGATACCAAGCGCGATGCCCAGTAGAGTAGAGTCGTGCGCAGTTATCGTGGGCATCTGTGTTTTGGTTGAGGATGTTATGTTTTCGGAGGAGGGCTTTGGGCCATGTCTTTTTTGGGAAGTGTGGCTACGTGCTTGAGCTGTGTGTCGGGTGTGCCACGGTCCTGCAGGTTGGCTTTTTCCCAAGCAATGGAACCAAGAGTGAGCATGTTTTGAAACGCGGGCCGGGTCCAATGTTTTCTGGAGCATGACTTCACAAGTCTTCACGAGCTGCTGATAACTGTGGCGTGCCACTGCAACTCGAGTCCGACTCAAGCGCACGTTTCGTTAGTTCAAGTGCAGCTCACAAGGCGGCTGTGCTAGCGATGGTTCGCTCATAGGGTCAATGCAGCCCTCACAGAGACCTAGCCTTATAGCGTTGACCCCTTTCATCAGTTTCCTTTGTGCGGGGAAGGCATTTTGAGGCAAAGCCCGCTGATAGTGTCCGGATGACATCTGGCTGCGTGCTCAAGTTCGGACGGGATGATATGGGATTCTTGGCGGGTTCTCTTGATATCATACAGGCATTCGGGGGCCATCAACGGCACCACAATTCCAATGAACTTTTTGTGTATAACAGAAAGAGGTCAAGCAACTTCAACCATACCTAGACCTATCAAATACCCATACTGGAGGCCTTTAATCTTACAACAATGGGTACTTATACCATAGGCTATGATCATAGGCATTTCGGGACGTTCAGGCATACCTCCAACTTTACCCCACAAAGTCCCAGGTGTCCTTCTACATACGAGTTCCTGTGTATCTTATGCACATCCCCTTACATAACCCAAGCAGCCCTAAACAATTCCAAAACCATTCCTAAACGCCAGACGTCAGCATTGCGATCCTTACACAGCCCAAAACCCAACTCCTAAATGCCCACATCCAGGATTCAGCAGAAGGCCCTGCATGCTTACCTCTCCTGGTTGACGGTGCCCAACCGCCCTGGACTGAGAGCCAGCATATCAACCCTCACATCTGGGGAAATGGGGGGGTTCAACTATAGGTCAGTTTAGATGTTTGGTTTCCTGTCGAAGTTTCCGGCTGTAGAAGTCCAGCAGTTCAAGGGCTTGGGTTAAGCAGACTACTGGTGATTGCAGGGTGTTGATTGTGTTGAAGACTTGTAGATGGCAGCGGCATCGGCTTCGTAAAGTCATCCTGGGATATCTGTGGGATGGGCTAGGCTATGCTTTATTTGGCACTTGCAGTTGTCCATGGTCCATAATGTTCACATAGCATTAATAAACGGGGTGACAATAGCATTGAGTTGCTGGGCTGGAAAAATCCCGTACAAGCAACCTTAGGTCCAAATCGTAATAATAAAGGGGTGGCAATAATATATTGTTCCGGCCCGAAATATCC